ATAAAGAAGTGGAGGGGCAGTTTGGAATTTCCCTCTTTGCCATCATAGGAATCAGCCTTAATAAACTTATCTCCCATGGTGAAGAGTTTATCCCATTATCCTTTAAACCAACCACTCTGTCAGTAGCTGCTGAAATCAAATGGCTCTAGTCCCCTGCTTGCTCTTTAGTTTATCTCCCTTGTTATTGCACTGATTTGAAGTAGTGGCTCTTCTGCGCCTAAACTGTGTTTGGTGACATCACACACATTTTCCCTGTGTTTGAGGGGCAAGCTTCTGGAAGGCCAAACAAATGATGACCTGAGGTGGCTGCGTGTCACTCATCATCAGTTCACATGCTTGCCAGATACTCTGCCCTGGAGGAGATGCACCTGTCTCCATCCTCCAAGGAGTATTCTGTGTCTTCATTTAGTCTTCTGAATGATCTTATATTTTAAATTGTAGCCATAGGCTGTTTCTAAGTCAAAGGCAATTTACTAAAGTTTATGGGGGAAAAAATTATCAGATTGTAAGAAACAAATAACTGACACTGCAGTCACATCCTTAACCTTTTTCTCTCCTATAGTTTTTCTCTCCAGTCCCCAAGCCTGTCTTTCCATGTGTTCTTGTGGCACCATTCCTTGACTCTGTGATGGTTACCTGGAGTCAGAAAAAGCTAAGCACCATGGTACTTCAGTAGAGTAATGCTCTCACTCACTTTTCATTTGTAAAAGGCTGCCTCCTGCTAGATTGGTCATAAATCTTCCAGTCCCTCACTTTCAGGTTCCTTCCTTTTATCTCGAGACACACTTATTAAATTTTCATCTGTAACTCTATCTCTGTACTTCGTTTGAGTTTTGTGTGGGGATATTTTCAAACTCTTAATGTTAAGCTATTAGTTGTGCTGGGCAGTGCCTTGTGCTCCAAGTAGGGCTTCTTTTTACCTTATGTATCTCCTGCCAAATAGGTATTTAAGGGTCCTCTAATTGTAAAAATGCTTTTTTTTCCTTTTTTATATTGAGAGCAATTAAATTGTTCACAGTTTTATATCCAGGAGTTTGCATTTTTCCTTTTCCTCACGTATGTTGGAAAGATGAATGTTTCATGCCTACAGGAGTTTGGGTTATATGACAACTTTATTATCAATGCCAAGAAAGAGGAGAGCTACTTTATATTCAGTCTTAAACATGTATTCTAGACTGTACTGTCCAGTACAGAAGCACAAGGCATACCTGGCTATTGAGCATTTGAAATATGTCAAGTCCAAGTTATACTAAGTTTCAAAGACTTGGTATAAAAAAAGATGTGAAACAGCTTATTAAGAATCTTAATATTGTTTATATTTTGAAGTAATATTTTAGATGTATCAGGTTAAATAAAATGCTGTCAGCTGTTTTTTAATTTTTTAAACATGGTTACTAGAAAACTGAAAATTACACGTTTGTCTCACATTTTAATTCTATTGGACAGCCCTTTTCTAAAGTATAGTATTGTCAACAAAGTAATGACCTAATTTGACACTCACAGCTCTTACCTACTGCTTACTAGAGGTAATAATTGAACAGTTTTCCCAGAGCTTTACTGGCCTACTTATGATAAGGGACTCCAGGGCTGGGAAACCCTCTAATGCTGTCTTTTTCATCAAATGCTGTGAAGAGTGAGATACAGTTACTTGACACTCTAGTTTGAAAATTGCAGTATTGCATGCTTCTGTGGGTTCTTGTTTTGGTGTTGAGTCAGTTCAGAACTTTTCTGTGTACTAGATACTTTTTTAGGTCCTTTGGATACAACAGATCTCATCCCTGCCCATGAGGACCTTAGTCATAGCACAGTATGCAAACAAGACTGGAGAGTGATTCATCGTGCAATAATAGAAGGCTGCACACTGGCTGGAGGAGTCCAGAGGAGAAAGAGAGGGCAGGGAGAGTATGGAGAAGAGATCCCTGGAGACTTCTTTTAGAGTCATTTCCTGTGCCCCCTGATGCCCTTACTTATAGGAACGGGCTGCCTGTAGCAGTTGTGGGCCTCAGGTGTACAAATAGCCCATGCTCTGGAGACAGACATGACTGTGTGCTGCCCATCCCTGGACATAAGCTCCATTCAGCTAGATAGGAGTTAAAGGTTAAATTGGCCCCAAACAGGCCTGTTAGCTTATTGTTTGGGTTTTGATAGTCTTCTGTAAAGTTGAGATACTTGACCTTCCTTGTTTTACTAAGGAATTGAAGAAAATATGAAAAAACTCAATTTTGTTTTTTCTAGTTTTTTCTCTATGTACAGAAATACCAATGTGAATGAAACTGAAAGAGGGTGAAAAAAATCAACTGACTTGCCTTTCTTTAGTGGAAGTACAAGTCAATTTGGAAAGGTCCCGGAGTGTTGTGTCAGTGTTTTCAGCAGCTGAGGCAGACAAGCTCAGGTTACGGCATCTCCTGTGTTGGGGGCAGGAGACAGTAAGTGACACAGCATACAACAGGCATTTACATAACCATGACTTCAGGGGACAGCATTGAGCTGTGAATGGATCTCCCAAATTTAGGAATATGATATTAGAACACAGCTTTTCAATTTTTCTCTTGAGTGACTTGAAAATCGCTTTCAGAAACATCTTTCCAATGAGACTTTTCATTGCTCTGGGAACTTATTTCCCCTTCCCTCTGTTACTAAATTCATGGACTTAATAACTTTGTAGAACTGGAAGGGAGCTCAGAAGTCTCAGAATGCAGCTGTCTCTAGGTAAGTTCCTTAGCCTGCCTGGGGCTGGGTTTCCGAGATCTCCATGCCCACTCCCCCTAGGTAGACAGTCTGTTTCTGGAGGCACAGTGTTAAACTCCCTCTCCTAGCAGATTAAATTCATTGCACATTCTTCCACTCTCCTTTGCCTCCCAACAGAATTTCCAGATTTAGCAAATAAAGGAGTATTTTCATTTTTGCTGATGGGGCAAAATGGACTAAGAAGGGACTGACTGAAGTGAAGTGTGGAGATGGGATTGCCTGGGGCCATACTTGCTCTAGTATGCCAGAGATGTTGCCCTTGTTAGCAGCTGATCTTATCGACCTGGGCTCTTCTTCCCTTATGGCTGGGTGCTCTTTGCAGAGTGAGAGCCACAGTGCTTTCACTTTTGAATCCTTGCTCTTTCGCTACAGGAGTTTGGATTTGAATCCAGAGCAGTGGACCACGAAAGGATGCAGTTGGAAATGGATCTTATTTAATCAACATCCTCAGGTTATGAACGAGGATATCAAGGGCTGGGAAGGGGTGAAATATAGCTGCAGCAGAGCCCAGGTCTGTATTTCCCAGTCTGAGTCTCTTTATTTTTTGAAGCCACAACATTTTTTTTTTTTACAACAGTAAACCAAAACAGCAAAACCACCACCAAAAAAGGGTAAACAAAACCTTAGAAAATCAAAAGAATTATGAAGAAGATTATTCTTTTTCATTTGAACACAATTTACATCATGCCTATTTTGGCGAACTGCTTGTTTTGAGAAACCGCTTGTTTCTGTAAATTGTTTAAGCTTTTTTTAGATTATGAGGGGTTAGGGAGAAGGCAGGGTTTGGATTTTACTAAAATATCTTCTATAATAAAACCTTTTTATTGTGGAAAATTTTACATACAAAAGTAGAGAGAATAGTACCATCACCTAATTTAGCAGTTACCAATTCATCACCAGTCTTATCTTATGTAAGTTTTAGATGCTGTAATCGTATTTGTTTTTTAAACATTATCTTGCTCTTGCCAATAAAATGTCTTTTTGTTTTTAAGACAGTATAGTATTTTTATTATTCATATAATTACGCTTTTTGTGGTTTGAAGCATTTCCATCTCTGTTCTTATCCTAATAATTTCTTGTGTTTACTCAGCCAAGATGATTCCAATGCTCTAAAAATTTTTTTATCTCTTTGCCACCATAATAGGTAAGAAAAGTTAGCTTCTGTAACAAACCTCACTAATTTTGTTGACTTAAACAGAAGAAAGTTTATGAGTAATGGAAAGGTCTCAGGTAGTCATTTCCTGATGGGAAAGTGATTCAGGAGTGGAGTCAGGCTTCTGCATTGTGATCCTTCTGTCCTCAGCCCATGCTTTCGAGATTGCCTGCTCACCCCCATCAAGTCATTTGAAGGGCCTTGTGGGTATTGCAGGGGGAAGATTTTATGGGCTGGGCCTAGAGGGGCACACATCCCACTTGCTTCCATCATCCCATTGGCTAGAAACTCAGTTGTGGTCAAAGCATGCTGCCAAGGGAGCTGGGAAATGCGGTCTGTGACTCCAGGAAGAAAAAGAAAGAGGCTTGGTGAACACCTCAGAATTCTGAATGTATATTCAACATCTCATACCCGCTTCGTGCTGCATTTATGATCCTGGGTAGAAAGCAGCACAGTAGGGTCCCTGCTTGAAGTCCTTTTACTGAGGCTAAAATCATTAATTTTTTTCCTGTTTAAAATATTATGCCTGTTCATTAAATAAAATTTGAGAAACCCAAGAAAACACAAAGAAGATATAAAAATAGACAATAATCTCATCACCTGGAGATAATTATTATTAATCCTCTGTTACATTTCCTTCCAATTTTAGAAATTTTAACCACTTAGAAATAATAAAATTTCACTAATTCTTATTCTGTACTGCCTTGTAAATTCCAAAATTCAGAAGAGGGGAATAAACAACAATAACAAAAGTCTGGCAATTTTACCTTTTCTCAGCAAAGATACACTATTGCAGAGCTGTGGTGAGGCTTTACACACTGGCCATTTTTGGAATGAACCTTCTAGCTTACACATTGTAATCCTTGTTCCTCTTAGCAAATAGAGTAAATATTGGGGCTGGTGAAGTTAGCAATATGTATTAGAGTAGCCAGTCAGAGGTAACATTTCAGAATTTCTAAGTAACAGATTAATTTTCCGGGAGGGAATACTTAAGGTGTTTGAAACAGAGCTGATATGAAAACTTGCAAATTTGAAGTAAATACAAATACATTCTTGGTGGTGAGCAGAGTACTTGGTGGATGTGTTTTTCTCTTCTCACCTGCAGTGCTTCTGCTGGTGAGTACTGGAGAGAGATGCTGCTTATCATAGCTGGGAGGGTGGTTTTTTGGGAGAAGGTGCATTCCTTGAACCATCAGCTCCAGATCTGGGGATACAAAGCCTTCTGTTTTTTCTTTAAAGTGCATCCTTGAGACACACCAGCATGAGAATTCCTGTTTGTGAGGTCATCATAATGACCTCATAGCCAGGGTTGCTCAAAATGTTTGTTCATCTTCTGGCAAATATGAGCTGAGGCCTGGCCCAATTCTACAGACACCATGAGGTACCAGTTGTTTCATATTATTAGATTTGTGTGGACTTTTCTGCAACCTCTGTAGATAAAAAGTAAAGACATTAGCGGTAGGGCCTCTGTATCCTACTGAAGATTGTATAATGATAGGAAAACAATTGTTTTAAAATATCCTCTGGCAGGACATTTAAAAACAGAAAACTCAACAGTGGATCAGGGTATGTGGTTATTCAGTGGCTCTATTTACCGTGTAATTTGCAGTCAATTTTCCTGTTTCCTGCAAATAAACACATTTTTCTCCTGTGGAAATAGATTTACAGCAAGTAGATGTATCTCAAATTGTTACCCTGGTAACAATTTGAAATGATTAGACTTGGTTATCAGTGGTATAAATTATTAATGACCCAGACAACTAAATTCAGTCACATCACAACTGAGATGTTGTTACTTGGTTTTGAATATGTTGCTTTTGCTTTACTTGTTTTAGTTGTTATTAACAACAAGAAAAGGTGTTGGTTCACACAAATATCCAGAAATCTAGTCTCTGATGGTTAATAGGTATAATTTTCTTAAGGATTGTCTTCCTTTAAACAAACACAACCTTCAAAATCCTGTGTTCCTGTATAGAGGGTGCAAGTCCTCAATAAGTCATCCTTTCCCATCGTTTCTTTGTTAAACCCTTCTTCTAAGTTTGATATTATGAGTTGAAGTTGAGAGATTAGGTGGCCAAAGAAGAAAAAATTTGTTTTGTTTCTGTTTTTTCTCCCACAAAGCGTGTCACTATCAGACTCAATATCCCGTGTTTTGAGGTAGACTGCTCTTTTTAAAGCACTCTCCTATGTGTTCCCTCTTTTTTTCCCCCTCTGTAACAGTTACATGTCCCTGTTAAACATGCAAGACCTAGAGTCTGAAATTATTTACTTTCTTTGAGACTAGGAGAGCTCTTTCTGGACCCTCTAGATGTGTTTGTTTTCAAATGTGTCTCTCTTACTGGGGGTCCTTAAGACAGCTTTTTAGAAAGGAGCCATCCTGTATGCATGGGTTGTAGAAACTTGAAATTGCAAACTCGAGGTGAATTTTAGTTTTGGGGACATGCAAGTGCTTTAAGTCAGTTTCTGTGCTTTCACCATGTATTCTTGTGCAGGAAGACAGGAACTGAATCTTTAACTTCTGAATTCCCAGTCCCCTCGCAACATAACTTTCATGGGAGAGGCACCGAGTTGGGGTCTGAATGTAGTGCATGTTCATAGAGGAGTGATCCCAGAGGCATCTTGAAATGACACTCTAGTCATTTCCTGGGTCAGCTGGAACAGTAACTGCTCTTTCTGCTTTGAATGAAGTGTTAGTTGGTACTGGCTGCACCTCCAAACTGGGATTCATTACTGGAGTCATGTCTTTTTTTTTTACCCCCTCCTTCAAGGTCCTGATAACTAACCCACTGCTTTATACTACAGGTAAAATTTTTCTTTATCTGGATGGTTTCAATATTCTTACCTTTATGAAGCAGTTTATAGATTGCTTATTAAAAGTAATAACTATAGTTAAGTATATGTTCTCTGTTTTGAGGAAGTTATAGTCTGGAACTATATCCAAGCTTTGAAAATTTGTTTAGAAAGGAAGACTGATGTTTATATAATTTCCTTTTGAAATAATGTGTAGCAAGAGAAGTTATATCTAACAGGAACTTGGGGTGCTTGGATCCTTAGAAATAATAATAGCTAACGTTTGTCATGCTTGCTGCATACTGGCATTGTTCTAATCACTTGACACCTCCCTAGATGCTGGTATTTTCCAGTATCTAGCACACTAGACAAATGTGTTGACTTCCTAGAGGGTAGAACACATTGTATTTTGTTGGGTGGAAGGAGAATAGTCCTGCTTTCTAGAATCCTAACTTTGAATAAAGCTGACATCCTCAAGAAATGTAAAGCACACTTCTTTTGGGGAAGCCAAAGAGGATAGGCCTAAGGTAATTTGTTTCTCTGAAATAAATAGCTTGCCCTTTTCAATTAGTTATTTAGATCAGATCTCAGAGTTAAATCACAAGTTAGAGTATTAATCTAGTTTAAAATCTTGGCTTATTCCAGTCCTGGCTTTTTTTGTCTCTTAAACTTGTAGGTTTCCCATGTCCCTTAAACATGGGGAAAAAAAACCACAAAAAACTATTCTTCTAGGGTTGATACTTAGCAACAAAGCTTCCTGGTTTTAGGTGGAAATGTAAACCTTTTAGTGAGAAGAAAGAGAGTGAGAAGGGATGCGCAGCTGAGCCTTCTGTCTGTCCAGGAGCCCTTCTCCTGTACATAGTTGGTGCCAGGAAGTAGATCTGTCTCCATGCATCTTCTATTTGAGAATGTACAAGCAAAATTGTAGCTGTTTTTGACTGTTCAGTAGTGAGTTAAGTTCTAGAGATAAACATTTTACAGATGGTTCTGGGCTTGAAAAAGTATTAAAACCGTGGTATCAGTCAATGGTGTAAAATAGGATTCTGGGGCATTAGTGTATCGAATATGTTGCAATGTTCTAGTTTGGAAAGCAAGATTACAAAGCAATGTGACTGACTTTTAAAAATAGATGGAAAAAATACATCAGAACTTAAGTTTTTTCATCTAGGTAGGTATTGTTCATTTACTACAGTGATAGTTTTTGGAATTTGGAATTCACCTATGTGCCTTGGATACATTTTTGCTATGTTCAGTAGTTGGGCACCATATTTTTAAGATTTTTGATTCACGTTTTGAAAACATCCAGTGATGGTTTAGAGCCAAGTCCAATCTAGAGTGCTGAGAGACTGAGAGGGTCTCTACCATGTTGGGTTGGCAATAAAGTACAACTTGTGAACTGTCTCTGGAGTTATTTCAAGAAGAGGAGTTAAGAATATTTTGACCAAAGCAGTATTACTCAAACATAGTGTTTCCTTGGCTGATTGCTTTGAAGGATACTGTTCATCAGGAGGTTTTAGAACAGTGCTGTCCCGCAGAACTTTCTGCAGTGGTGGAAATTGTTTGGTATGTTTCACTGTGGCTGTTGAGCACTTGAAATGTGGCTGGTGTGATTGAGGAACTCAGTTTTTATTTCATTTTAAAGGAATTTAAAGTTAAGTTTAAACAGTGCATGTGGCTAGTGGCTCCACACTGGATGGTGCATATCTAAGGCATCCAGCTTGCAGTTTGGATTAAGACTGGGGTGAGCAGTTTACAGAAAGATACCAGAAGTCATCAAGGCAAGGTGGGTTATGGAATATCTGGTCCCTCTCCCCTCCCACTGCATGCTGAGTAGTAAAGAAGACTATAATTTGTCATTTGTGTTCAGTGGTATCTAATCTTTATAACCTCTCCAAGTTTTTCCTTGCTAAGGTGTTAGCTGAAGGGTTTTAGATGAGAACCTTCCCTTGTATTTCCATTTTAATCATCAACTTTAGATGCTCATGACTCTTCCCTGAAATTTAAGACCTGCCTGGCAGCCCCCATTTGTTACCTACACCTGTGGTTACAGTGAGTGAAGACTTGGCATGCCACTAGAAAAAGGCTGCCAACCCTTACTTGATAATGGTAGCTAGGTGAAGAAAACTGAAATGAACAAATGAAATAAATATAGAGCTCAAGGGAAAACTGTAGACATCTTTCATTTTGTACCAGTAGAATCTTGAAGTAAAGGAGGCTTTTCATTTGAAGTGAAAGGTAAGTAAGAGCTGATTATGGTATATTTCTTAGATTGAGCTCTAAGGCTCTTTAAAATGCCTTTTCAATTTACTTTTGGAACTTGATTTCTTACAATAATCTTTTGATGTTAGCCAAGCTGAGCTTCTCACTGTCTTAATCACTTGCTTTTTATCTTTTCTCTTCCTTCCTTTGTCGCCTTCTCTGAAATCTTTTCTCTCTGCCTTTTTGAAAATCCTGTCAACACCTGTACAACCGCTGAGCTTCGCTCAAATCCTGCCTCACCCACACAGCCTTTTCTTTCTGCCTTAATCTGCTCTACTCTCCCATCTTTTAAGACACTTCCAGATCATCTCGTGGTTTGGTATTGTAAGTTGATTGTTTTCTTAGTTATTTTTCATATGTGTGGGTCTTCTGTCCCCAACTACGTTGTAAATTCCTTGACCTTAGGTGTGTGTCATATATTTTTCTGTCACCTGTAGCAAGCACCAAGTATAACTTTTTAAAATACTGGATACACCCCAGCTGGTTTGTAAAGTTATTTAAACAACTGAGGTTGTTTTTCTCCTTTTATTTGGTTATTGTTTATAAGGCACTGTGGGGAATATAAAAATGGCTAGAAGGCATTTATAGCCTGGTAGAATCTAGATGACATACACAGAGCTCAGTGTGTTAGGTGCTAGAAAGGTACAGACTTAGTGCTATGGGGAATTGCAGATGCACACATTTTCATCTTTGAGGGTTGGAGTTTTGTGGGTGGATGAATGCCAGAGATGGCTCCTGAGTAAGGTTTTAGCAGATGAAGATAACCACATCTGCAAAGGGCATTTGAGGCTGAGTGAGATGCCTGACGCAACATGTTAGAGTGACAGCACCATGGCTTCTGCAATGGGATTTGGGAAATTGGTCATGTGGATGGTTCATGTCTGTGTGAGAAAATGGACCTTATCAGTCACTTAGCAGTGCTTCTCAAACTTTTGCAGCAGAATCTCCAGAACTTAAAATATGGATAGCTGGGCCCACCCCAGAGTCTATTTCAGTAGGTGTGGGAGGGGCCCTGATAAACTGCATTTCTAACAAGTTTCCAGGTAATGCTGATAAGGCTGCACATTTTGGGAACCACTGACTTAGAGCCCCAGTCCCTCTGATAACCGCCTTAGGGAAATGCCTATTTTACATGTATAAATACTCCAACTTTAATGCATAATTGTGTTCTTGTTACTTTGTGCATATACCTCTG